TTTTGAGTTGTTCCTTCAAAACAGAAAGGTTTCGATGTTTAGCTTTACTCCAAAAGAAGAAAGCCTTCAATGCTCTACTAAACTTAAAATTTAAAATGTGTATAGCATATCCTTGAACAATTTTATTCCAAGACTTGAACACAATTATTTTAGAGGCTGGATAGGAAGCACAAGGTCTTCAAACTTCAAACCTTTACTTTTTCGAGAACCAGAATAGAAGATCTTGAGAAGGATAGGACAATGGTCTGAAGCTACTCTAGTAAGATGCCTAATAGCGCCAATTGAATAACCTCCAAAGCAGCAGAATTCAAAAGGCACTAATCCAATCTTTCAAAAATTTGAGTACCCCCATTCTTATTATTACACCAAGTAAATTTTGGACCAATCACTCTAACATCATGATAATCGCATTTGTTCATGAACATGTTGATATCCTGAGGACCTTGAGAGAGGACAAACTTTTTCTCACATCTTTTATCATCTTGAGACAAAACACAATTAAAGTCGCCTCCCATAATAGAAGGAAGATCTCTAGCCGAAATCACTTCCATGCTATTCAATAGGATTCTCCTCTTATAAATATATCTATTTCCATAAACTGTAGCAATCAACCACACACCTTTGTTAACAATATTAAGCTCCCTTACAACCATTTGAGAGGAAGCTTCAATAAAATAAAAAGAAGCAAAATCAATCCTCCAGCAAACCATGATACCACCTAAAAGACCATCCGATGAAAAAGAAAGAAATATCATTTATCACCAATAAATATATTGAACACAACTCTAACAATAGAAGAAATCTTCATTTCAACAAGACCAACAAAGAACATATCAAAATCTTTCACAAATTTCTTTAAATAATGAGAGGCTTCACTCTTCCTAGCCTCGCTACAATTCCAAAAGGCTATGGATGACATTTAGATTTTGAATTGGGATTACTCCTAATACTATCTCTGCTACATGAATCACCTTTTCTTCTACGAGGAAGAAAATTAACTTTGCCCAATGGTCTATGTATTTTTGGAGTTGGAATTTAGACACTCCAGAACTTTCACCATCCACACCTTTCCCTGAATCAATAATCTTAACATTTGCATCAACAAATTCTCCATCTTCTAAATCTTATGCAATCAAGTTAGCTAGGCAAGGATTCTTAGTTTTCCCTTCTTCATGCAAAGACTCAAGGACTTTGAACATATTATCATTTATAGGAATGCCATAATTATTAAAAAATAGATTCAATACCATTTGCTGAAATAGAAAAAGTATTCACTATTTGCTCATTTGATTTGTCTGGAATATCCTTTTCCATGTCACGAACAACATTACTAGCCAAATCTTCAGAAATGACATTAATAATTTCTTCTTCAATTATAACAAAAGGATCAGTATTTACCTCGACATTAATAAGAGAATTAACTTTATTAAACTCCTTTAAAACAGAGGCCTATGCAAAATTGTCTTTTACCAAGGCTTTTTTAACATAAGCAAGACCCGCTTTATACAAATTTCCATTTTTATTAGTAATCATCTTTGTGTTCTCACCTTTCCTTCTATTTGAAAAAAAACTTCCTCCTTTTCCCATAAGTAACATGCATCCAAGGTCCATATGAAACATCTCTATTAACATCATCCGGTAAAGATATTTCATAATTACTCACAACTATTTTAGATCTAGCAGCACCTCCATCGCCAGGGACATTCTCCTTCAAATTACATTCATTGTTAAGATGCCCAAATTTTCCACACTTATAAGATAATGTAGAAATATTTTCATACTCGATTTTCTAAAAGAATCGACCATCCATCCCTTCCACCCATACACCCATAGGGAGTTGCTTATCTAATTCCACAAGAACACAAACTCTATCATACTCTCTTTTACTCCATTGGAACATATTCCTATCAATCCATAAGGGTGTACCTATTATAGAAGCAATTCTTGCCAAATTAATATCATCCCAATACATTAATGGCAGATGAGGCATCCTAACCCAAATAGGAGATGACAGACCTTTTAATGAGGAAGGTGAAAAAAGGGGATTCCACTTGTCAAGGCCTACTATATGACCATTCACATACCATGGCTCTCCAGATAAAACACTCTCCATAGCTTCTAAAGAGGAAAATGAACACAAAACCCATCCTAAACCAAGGATAGTCAAGTGGAATTTCCTAAACTGCAACCATTGATGTCGTAACTCATCAGCTATCAAAAGGGCTGGAACATCCTTACCAAAAACTTTAACAACAATAGAAAACTGAAGGTTTTCAGAATTAGCTTTAACATTTGACTCATGCAACTTGACAACAATACAATCTTCAGAGAGAATAGATTCATCTTTAAAAAAGTTAATCTTAACATTCAAACACTTAAACCACGAAGTAGAAGGGAGATTAGCAGGTAGAACAACCTTATCACTCAAACTTTCAGATGATAAATTTCCATCATGCTTCTCTTCTTAAGCATTTAAACAAACACCAGAGGACATATCCGCAACTACCATCTTTAAAAAATCCTCCTTAACAAGAAATAAAGATTTAGCATTAACATTACCGAACTATGGTTTAAGCGCCACAATTAATGACCTAAAAAATCAGCATTCCTTTTGCCTATAGCAGTTGTGCTCAGACTCTTAAAATTCAACCTTAAATTCTTCTCTAATGGAGGTTAACTATCATATTGTTGATTGCAACGCTACTTGGGCATCTTGGCTCATCCAAAGGTTAAAAACCAAATGGCTTATCAAAGGAGAAGATGACCTCAATAGAAGATGACCTCAATTTTCTTTATGCTAAAATCAAAATGAGATGGAACTATAACAGGATATCTATGCTCTCTATTCTCATTGGCTCCTCATCCAGCACTCAAGATTTCATAAAAGCTATCATCCTCCATTTCCAAGCATTATACAAAGCACCAGCTCCCACCCAAAATGACTTGAGCACCATCCCCACTAGAGCCGTCATCCCCCAACTACACACCTTATTTCCTCCCTCACTATTCTTATGACAAGTGATGAAATTAAAAACTCTGTAGTTTCAAGCCCATCCTACTTTTACCTTGTTTCTGATGGATACACATTTCAATTCTACAAATCAAGATGGAATACAGTTGCCCCCCTAGTCTGCTAAATGGTTAAATCCTTTTTCCTTAAAATCTACATCCTAAGAAAAGCCAAAGCCACTAGTATAACTTTACTTCTCAAATACAACCATGCAAGTAACAGTTCTAACTTTAGGACTATATCCCCATATAATACTTTTAACAAAGTGATAACTAAAATTTTGGCTAACAGGCTCAATCATATAATGTATCATATTATTCGTCCTAAACAATTGGGTTTCATAAACAAAAGAAATTTTACTAATAATATCATCCTTGCCTCCGAGTTGATCAATGAATTTAATAAGTTAGATAAAAGAAAATTTTTATGTGCTAAATTTGATATATTTAAGGCTTTTGACATAGTCTCCAATAATTTACTTGGGGTAATTCTAACATGGATTCCTTTAGGTATTTTCTTTTTTACTTCTATAAAGACAGTATAAATTTATTTGGCACAAACATTATGTTTTAAGATTTTCTTCATATGCATGGATGACTCTTCTTGGGGGCCTTAAAATGGGAGAAATTATTTTGTACGGAGATCGGATGCGGAACGCCATCCGGAGACCAACCAGAATGCCCCACGTCAATTGTACCGAGCCGCGGTACCGAGCACATGGGTCACGTGATGCATTCTGGTTGGTCTCCGAACAGCGTTCGACATCCACACATAATATTTTTTCTTAAAATGGATGGTGCTTTATCTTGGAGAAAAACTATAGTTGAAGCGCTTTGCAATTTGTCAATCTATCGCTGAAAGCACCTCCCACCTATTCTTTGAGTGTGATTATTCTTTCTCTGTCATTGTTGAGTTGATTCCTGGAATGAACAGTTTTCTTATGAGACCAAGCCTGCTTCAGATATTTGATTTTATCTCTAAACTGGCGTGCTCAGTCTCGAATTCAAAGAATTTCTATCTTCTAGTCGTTGTAGTGTTTCAAAGATTTGTTTCAAAATCAAGAACGTTGTTTAACGTAAAATTGCTAAATGGAAAAACTAGGAAAATCTAAAAGCTTTGGCAAACTACAGAATATGGAGAATGTTACTGATTGCTTCTTGTGGGATTCAATTCGTTAGACTTGTTTGATCATCTGTTTCGTGCTGCAGATTTTGCTGTATGTTTCATTTATGCAGCTTTTACTGAATCTGTTGCTATCCGAGTATGCGCTCTCACCATTAATCAGGAGGGATTTTTGGTATGCCCTTGATAATGATGAAATTCCCTTAATACCTGACCTTCTCCCCTTAGGCTGCTTTCTAGGCAATGTGAAATTATTTTGTGCGGATACGGACGTCATTCGAAGACGAATCAGAATGTGTCACGTCTTTCGGTTGTTGTGTACCACAGCTATGTACCGATGTGCACCAAATGATGTGACGCATTCTGATTCATCTCCGAATGATCCGATGTCCACAAAAAATAATTATTTTATATTTTTGTCATATATGCATGACTATTACAGTATAAATATAATAATTAGATAGTTTTAATATTTATTATAACATAATGGATCAACCGTCAGTTAAAATTTCAACTGTCATTAAAATGTAAATCTTTTCCTCTTTCGATTGCAATTGCCGGTGCGAATTTTAGTATTTTGTTTAGTTATATCAAAGTCTTATGGAGGAAATGTTTAAACAATTGCGATAACATTATTTAAAACAAGTAATTTATATATCAAGATAGTCCTTGTCCATTACAATGGAGACAAACTGAGGCCATTGTATTACACTACTTGGGAAGCATTAGACAAGCTTGGGAAAGTATTAAACTTCGGCTTCGTTTGGGCGGATTTCTTACTATTTTTTAAAACGATTTTTTAGTAAAAAATTAAAAATTTTGTACTATAAAACTGCTTTAAAAATAGTAAAAAAACTGTCCCAAATGAAACCTTCATTTGAGATGACTTTCTTACTACTTTTTAAGCAGTTTTTTGATAAAAATTTTACTAATAAATTGTTTTGAGAAACAATAAAAAACTGTCCCAAATGAAACCTTAATCTAAAACTTTCCGAAGCGTCTCTAATTAAACTGTGTTGGAAGCAGTTTTCTTCGATAGAAGATGCTCCAGCTTGAGAGAATTAATCTTTGCAGCAAGGATGAAATCATTTTCAGTCAAGCCTCCTGCATTAAAGATTGCGTGAAAATTTGTTAGAGAGAACTAGCTGAAACATGCTGGTCTGAAATTGAGCTAACAAATGTGCCGACAGACATCATATTCAGCATAATAACTTAAAAGACTAAATCAATATCTTCCTTAGTAGATAGCTTTCATATTTTGGTTCCAATTAGAAGAAGGAAAATTATTTGCATCGCAACAAAATAAAAGAATTTCCACACTGCATGCTAATATGAAAACAAGCGGATATGAGGAAGTGAACCTTGCTTGCCATTCCAATATGAAACTGCAACCAATAATTTGAATAGTATTTGGAGCTCATTTGGTCAGTGCATTAAAAATTGAACCAGAATAGATGGTTTGATCAGTTCGACAGTGAACTGTCATATGATTAGTTTGGTTCACCTTAAAAACGTCCCTAAAGCAAACCAGTAAGAACCGCTGAGTATCACCAGTTCGATTGGGAAACATTTGAACCAATTCCTTAGAATTTACAACCGGTCGGTTTAATTTCAACCCCATTAAGCACTATTGATTAGGCTGCAAACAAACTGAATCATTTGGTGATTAGTAATTTATTTAGTGTAAAATATTAGACTTAAATAAATTAATTTAAATTTAACTAGTTTGTATTTTAAAACGAGCATTAAATCTCTACAACAAACAATTATCAAGCATGCATTGAACCAAGCCTTTTTGCAATCTCCACCCATCTTATGTGGCTAACCAACATTTGCACTAGAAATAAAAAATACTATATTAATAATATAAAATTTTCAAAAAGTGTGAAACTAAATAACTTATAAGTTGTTCACAAATTTGTAATACATGCACTAAACTTTTTTAAACAGATTTTTCAAGAAAATTATTATAATTTGAACAATATTTAAATTTTATCATTTTATCTTTTTTATCTATTTAAATATATATTTTGTAAGATTAATATTTAACCTATTTATTATTTGTTAATTAATTATAAATAATCTAATGTGAATAATCTATAAATGCCAATGTGAATTTAGTATTTAATACATAAGTGTTCATTTATATTGAATCCTATAACAGGAGTTAATAATGACTTTCATTAAATTTATAAATTTACTTATAAATTTACAAAAGAATAAAATTTATATTAAATGTGAACAAAATTTAAATATTGAATGTTTTTACATTTACAATTATTAAAGATATCATGTGCATGAAAAAGCTATTCATTCCATTATTATTATTAATATATATATATATATATATAGTATAAATATATCATTATTATCATTTAGATTATATTAAATTTATTTAATATTTATTACACCATCCAGTTAAATCACATTTGAATTATTGAATTTTGAACATCTCCTTCCAATATCATATCTTTTTCGATTTTCACAGCCTTACATTTAGTTAACTCCCAGTTGAAGATTATATTTTGAGGAATAATAAATTTATCATTTTATTAGATGTAGTTAAGGGTTTGTTTAGGATGATTGGAGCGTTTTGTAGATGTGAATGTGAAGTTGTTATAGGGAAACTAACTTTTTTAAAAGATATTAAAATATATTATTTTTGTTTTGGTCGAAGAACTCCTTTCTTAAAGCTATAACTCATTAGTAACTCTAGTTCTAAAAAACAGCTTCCTAAAATAAAATATCTATAAATCAATGAAAAAAATAAAAAAGAAATAGTTAAACGGAACTGTGGCTGCGGTCTGAAAACAAAGTTGTGAAAAAGCAGTCCTAAATAGACTCCAAACAATATTAATTTCAAACTAAAAAAGCCTTCATAAAACTCTACCACAAGTGATAATTTAATTTTCGCACTCAAAACGATTGGAGATCAAAATTTTCTAAAACATATTTTTCATGCACTGGCAATCAAATGAGCCCTTAGCAATCAATAAAGTTTGAAAAAGCTTAAAAAATTAACCAAAAATCATCATAGAGATTTATCAAGACTAGCAACCATTTAGAAGGGACAAGAGAACATGCAGGTAAATCAAAGAGGGCACACATTAACATAAAGGGGAAAAAAGAAAGATAGAACTCATATGAATCAGGTCAGATGTTAATGTTCTTCAAGCATAATTAAAAATTGAATGAAATGGGAAAAGTCAATTAGCAATTTATTACCAACCGAATGGGTCCATATCTCAATTTTCACGTTGTTCCAGCCAAACAGATGGAGGTCAGGATGATGACCTGGAGAAGAGAAGCAAAAAATCATACATGATAAACAAAAGTAATTATCACATACCTTTCTGATTATCCATACCATCAGAAGTAAATTCATTTATTGAAAATATAAACCAAGATTTTGATTTTAAGTCGTCGAAAAACAACTAAAAACACAATACTGGATCGCAATATCAAAATTCTGTTTCACGAGCCCACAACAGCATAGCAGTAGTCATATCTAGCTGATTAGTTCACAAAGGATAAAATGATGGGACAAGGCTAAGGATGAAGATGATGAAATATTTAATCATAGTGTTGACCTCACAATTATATACCAACAAGTTTTAACTTTTGTATCCTCACAAAAAATGAATAAAGATTGGAGTAGGTCTCAAAAAAGGCGTTGGCACTTATCATAAATTTCAAATAATTGGTCGATAAAAATTAACAATTGTATTAGTTTTGTTGATAACATTATCATAATTGAAAGATCTGATATATGATGTGCTAAAACTTAGAAAGCACAAAAGTTGTTTTACCAGCAAATAACAACGGTTTTCAAAAACTATCCAAAGAAAGAGAAATTAATATCATAGATGAAAAAAACCTCAGATTATTTATCAATTTGCCTCCAACATAATGAAAAATTATAACTCAATTTCCAAGATGATTGAAAGAGAAGATAGAGCCAACAAAAAAGTTTGATATGATAGGCTAAAAACATTTCATTCATGTAGATGCACGCTAGTAGATCTACCAAGCACGCCCAAAACTTGAACGGTGGTAGACCAATACAATAAAGGAAATGCTAAATGAATTAATCAGAGCTCATAGTATAACTTCAAACATCAAGATCAAATAAAGATGTTTTGTATTCAAGAGAGAATGTTTAATATATGAAAAATTATAAATTAAAAAAAAACAATTATATAAGCATTAACATAAGAAACAAAGTTTCATTTCGGTAATAATGCCTTTAACAATAATTCATAAAAAGACAAAAAAAAAGTGACTAATGAAAAGGAAATGAAAGAAATCAGCCTAAGTAATAACTATCAAAAGCCCAATAGAAGCATAATAAAGCACAACAGTATTAACTTAAATACCAAAGTAACAAAATAATAAATATTGAAAGATATACTTCTGTAGTGATAGTCCACTAAATAATTTGATAGAATCTGTAAAAAGAATGTTACACCAAAAACGAGTTTGATATGCCATTAAACGATAACTCATATTTAACAAAATGTACATGAAACATAAAGTGCATACAATATAAATAGTAAAACAAGGCATGATTTATAATATACTTACAACATCATAAATGTTATCATTTCATTCATTTAGGATAATATTGCATGTTATCTATAATTGAAAGTACCAATTACTTCAAAATAATTTATAGTGTAGTTATATTAATGACTATAGGGATGTCAATATTTAACACGACCCAAAAATCTAACCTGAATCCGACCCAAAAATTTCATGTTAGGGTAACCCTTCAAGGAAACGAGTCGGTTTCAGGATTAAAATCCTAACCTGATTGCAAATTCGGATCAGGTTCAGGTCAACCATGAAACCTGACATCAACTCGGAACTGACTCGACAACACGGGCTCGACCCTACTTCACTCGTGTCGCTCAGCGCCTGCAAGCCCTAACTGCGCACTCGACCCTACTTCGCTCGCACGAGTCTGGACTTCCGCACTATACCGGATTATCGCTCCCGTCGACTGCCAACAAGCCTGAATCACGCACAATGCTGCATCTAGTCGTACTGCCCGGCACCCGCGATCCACCCGCCACGATTCCAACCCCTGCGCAACAAGCCCTAACAGCTTTTGGTCGCACCACGCCGCTTCGGGTCTGGTAGCACTACGCTGCATCCCACCCGGCGCAATTTTGTGTTTGCCACTTCGAGTCTTCGCTTGTAATTTCTACACGGCACTGGGTCATACATGTCAAGTCAGTTTGACCCATGATTTTGGCGGGTCAAGTTCGAGTTAAAAAATCTAGCCCGTTTTGTAAAAATGAGTCAAGTTCGAGTCGTGTCGAACAGCAGCGGGTCAGTATCGGGTTCAACCTAAACCCGACCTGCAATCCATTTTTTACACTGCTAAATGACTACCTATATGAAAATAGTAATCAATGTATTTATGTGCTATCATATTCATGTGCATGCTCCTCAAGTAGGTTTGGATATGTGTTTAAAATTAAAATTTTGGAATGACTTCGACTAATTAATTCAAAAGATACCTCTTGAAGAAAATTTTTTATTAGAGGAGATTTAAATGGACATGTTGGCAGAGAGATAGTGAATTTAAAAGTATTCATGGTGAGTATAGGTTTAAAGCGACTAATGAAGGTATTAAAACTATATTAGATTTTGCACTAACTTATGATTTCGTAATTGCTAATACCTTATTTAAAAAAAAGATGAGCATTTCATCACTAATAAAAATGGATATAGCAAAACTCAGATTGATTATTTTTTTATAAGAAAAATAAATCATTTAAATTTCAAAGATTGTAAGTTTATTCCGAGTAAAATTTTATGTATCGAACACCACTTATTTGTTTTGGATTTTAAGATAAATGGGCAAAATATGAAAAATATGATAAAATATTGTTCTAAGATTAGATGTGGGCATTTAACAAACATTAATAAAAATATTTTTGAGAATAAAATTCAAGATCTTAAGATTTTGTCTGTGTATGAGGAAGCGAATGTTATCTCGAGAAAAATAAGTAGTAATATTAAAAAGTTGTAAAGGATGAGCTTAAAGTATAAAAAAAAAAAACTCCTAATAATAAAAATAGTTAGTGGTAATACAAAATGTGTAAGAAAATACCAAAAATAAGAAACTTATTTATAATAATTGATTTAGATGTTAAAATCTTAAAAATAAGAAAGATATAAAGAGGCTCGTTAGGTGTCTAAAAAAGAAATTTGCGATATAAATATTTTAGCTTTTAATGATTTATATAATATATTAGATTCTAAAAGAGCAAAAGATATATGTATAAGTTAGCCAAACAAAGAGATAAGAGTATTAAGGATTTAATTCAAGTGAAGTGCATCAATGAAGAAGATCAAAAAGTGCTTTATTTAGGAAAGGATATCAACAAAGATGGATGATATATTTTGCTAAGCTTTTCAATGAAGATTGTGAGAATAATATTGACTTTAGTGACCTAATCATTGCAAATGAAAATAGAGATTTTTATTTTTATCAGCATATCAGTAAAACTAAAGTTATAGAGGCTTTAAAGAAAATGAAGTGTGGAAGAGCTAGTGGACTTGATGATATTCCAACAGAGGTGTGGAAATGCTTAGGAGATGAAGGATTTTCTTGGCTTACTAAACTTTTTAATATTAATTTGAAGACTAAAAAGATGCCCAGATGAGTGGAGAATGAGTATATTGATTCCTATTTTTAAGAATAAAGGTGATGCACAAGATTGTACGAATTATAGAGGAATTAAGTTGATGTAACATAGTTTAAAACTTCGAGAGAGAGTTTTGGACCATAGGTTATGACGTAATACTAATGCTTCTCAAAATCAATTTGGATTCATGTCGTGTAGGTCAAGGTTTAAAATTGTGTATTCGGGTATTGAGGCGTTTTTAAATAGCAATGACATTAACATATCACATAAGAAGTTAAGAACTCACTAGTCATCAGCATTATCATCACTCATCAGTCATCACTAAGGGGATCTTCATTTGAATCATCATTATGATGAGCTACTCTCTCCTCTTCCCCCTCTCCTATAGAGTCCAATATCTCCCAATCAGCTTCTTCTTCCTCATTATTAGTTATCTTCCTCTTCCCTAAATAGTAAATATTTTTGAACAATATCATAATGAATAATAGTGTAATACATTAATAAAATTTTTGAACAATGCCAGGATATTTCTTCTCCTTTATTTGGCAGACCAGTGAGAAGGGCCACTTCATCAGCAGTGAAAGGAATGGGTTGAC